CGATTACCTTTCAAATTGTTATTAATATTATTTTTGGGAGTTTTTCATCCAGTAATATGCTTGGATTATTGCAAAGTCTTTGACGTTTTCACTCCWGTCACACGCTTGATACTCTCTAAAAAAGGACCGCTGTACAGATGTCTTTCTTTATTGGCGATAATTTTCGTCTCTCTCGAGAGATCATCGGGGATCTTYGTGAGTTCCCGACCGGTCGACATCGCTAGAGCCTAAAAGGGAATGTATAAGAAAAATTTGAACATATTATCTAACTCTGATCGTCTGTGGCCACAGTCCTTCCACTAACTCAAAATGGAGTCCATAACGTCTCATTTACTTCAACAAACAATTACAATTTGTGTTACTACAACTATATAAATTTACAAGACAGAAAACGCAAGAAATATAACGACTACTTACAAGATTTGTGGCGACTACGACTTCGACTGTGACAATGGATATTACGAAACGAACTACTTATATACTAACTGACTTACACGATGGAATTTACATTAACGTTCTTACTTACAAACAATAGAAAACAAACAAGGTACAATACTCGTGTCTACATCGTCTTTTTACCATTATAATGGATTGGCTCACCACCTCCGACCGTTTCCACCTCATAATCCGACTATTTCTTAGCTTACGATCACACCTCTTTTTCCGACCACCATCACCCCTTTATTACCTAACCCCTCCTTTTTACACTCTATATAACCTCAAATACCTCTCCAGTATAATCCGACCATTTCCGTCATATAATCCGTCCTCTCCCATATAATCCGACCATTTCCATCATATAATCCGACCTCTATATAACCTCAAAACCTCTCCCGTATAATACGACCATTTCAATCATATAATCCGAGTCTTTTCAATCTGTAATCCGATCATTACCTGGAACATACAAGCCCTTTCCAGATAGTACACGAGGTAAAATACGTCCGCGACGTTCTGTCCGACCACCATCACTCCATGATTACACATGAATAGAACAGATTTGTCTTTAATGTGCGTCGCTATTCGCTGTCCTTCGGTGATGTCTTGACTAAAACCACCGTACTCTCTGTCGTACGCAAAGTCATTGTAGAACATCAGCGAGTTTTGGTGGTACATTCCAAAAGGAAGGTCTTGAAGCATACCTGTGAGTAGAAGGAAATTGGTTAGGAATACTGTAAATGTATGATTGTACGTCGTTTAACTGACCGAGGCATGAACGCGCAGACAAATTACTAATGTGCCTATGCTTTCATTCAAACTAATTGAAATGTGTATACCTTT